GAGCAGAAGAAACAGCCGGTTTCCCCGGCGTCCAGCAGCCCAGGGGAGACGAGTGAGCGATGTTTAGAGGTGTAAAGTGGAACGTTGCTACATACTTCTATACCACCTCCATCCCTCTAGCTTCCATACCTCCCCCAACCCAGAAGAATAAGAAAAGAAAGATAAAGGCTTAAAGAGACCCAAAGGAATCCCCCAAAGAAAGACAACTATAGGAGAGGACTGCATACTGAAAGGTACTCCAGTGTGGAGGGTGAGTGATAATATCGTATATACTGCAGGGGTTGTTATATACTCCCTATATATTCTCTATATCCTGGACTTATGTATTGGATTTTTCTTCTCTGTACATCAGATTTAAGCAATGCTTTCATTGGGCTCGCAATAGGAAATTGTATTTTCTAAGTTGAGAGAAGGAAACTGGGGATTCCCTGCAAGGGTCTGAAGGTTTGGAGGAGTTGAAGACATGAAAGGTAAAAATATAAAAGGGAGTGGGTCTAAGAACCCTCAAACTGGTTCGATTAAGAAGTATATACCACAAGGAAATTTGACCCCAGAAAGATCTCAAGGAGTGAATGAAAAAAGTGAACTGGAAATAAGTTTGAATAATAGTCCGAGACTTTCCCTGGGACCGGTATATAATAGTCAACAACCACCGGAAGGTATAGGGCCGAGAGAAACTGAAAGAGATCTGCAAATACCAAATAAAAAGGAAATGGCGGAGATGTTTAAAAATTTGGAATTATCAATAAAGCAAGAGATGGGCATAATCCGGGAAGAATTGGAACAACTGCTAACCAGGATGGAGGAAACAGAGGAAAAAGTTCAGGGTCATGCTCAAGTTATCCCAAAATTAGAGAGATGGATAATAGACAATAGAAAAGAACAAAAAAGATTGTTTTTTATGATGGAAGAACAAGAAAATAGAGAAAGGAGAAGGGGACGGGAGGGAGGGAGGGAGGGGGTATTGGGGTAATACTCTGCATGACAGAAAGGATAAAGAGGAAGAGGCAATCTGGAAGAGAGATGGAGTTAATTGGGAATGATGGAAGAAATACAGTTTATAACCTATAATGTGAACGGGCTGAGTTGTCCAGGGAAGAGATTTAGGTTGTTTAATGAGTTTACATCATAGGGCTACGTCAGTGGTATTTTTACAGGAGGCGCACTTTGAGATAGAGGCAAACGTGAAATTGGTCATCCACCATCAGAATGCAGAAGAGTGGAGAGGGCAGCTTTCTTATTTCACCGAATGAAAGAACTACACATGTGCAAAGCAATATTTCCCCTGGAGATGAGCCATATGGGCTAGGTATTAAAAATTCATGTGTCTCACCATACTTGTGGTACTAAATGACCAATGGTATTGCTAAACTTAAGGCAGACTGCAAACAACTACAGCACACGTTGAAAAAGACCCACACAGCATAGATCTCAAGAGCAGATTGGGAGATACAACAGTGCCCAGATGTTTAGCAGAATAGGCCAGCTGCACCCGCCATTCCTCTGTGTCCTGCCTCTCGGAGATATCCTTCCTCACTGATGTTGAGCCTCTTCATGTTCCTCCTCTGCTGTCTCTGTCGGTCAAGTATGGTCAGAGATCTCAGCCATAACCCCCTTATCACTGGGGCAACTTGGCAGTAGGCTGCAGGAACGTGTGTGCAAAATGGTTCTCCTTGCCTGTTGGCACCTCCCTCTATACAACCTCAGATGCAATTAAAAAGTGGATTTAAAGCTTTTTTTTTTTTTTTTTTTAACACAAACAATAAAAAAGTTATACTTACCTGCTCTGTGCAAGCAGTCCCTTAACTGCTCATCTGCATTTTCAGCTTCTCCAAGTGCCCCCTCAGCAAGCTGGCTGTTGCAGGGGCACTTGTGTAATGTAAACAACTCTTATGATAACAAGCAGTGACAGGATCTCTTTACTAAGACATCTGGGGTCTATTAGACCCCAGATGTCTCCCCTGCCCTTGAAAGCATCAGATCAAACTCCGATCGGTTTGTTCTGAAGCTTTCCTAAGCCAGCAATGGCCAGTAAACAACAGTCAGAAACTAAAAGTGACTAAATCCTGCCATTGTCTGTACACTGTAGTAGGTGTCTAAGTGCCTGACAGCTTAAACAGTGAAAACCATTTAGTGACAGGCATGCCCCAAGCAGTGACATAGAATTGCTGATTGGCTGTTAGAATTCCATTTAAGGGCAATTGCTGATACCCGTATATTGTTAGTGATTCAAATACCAGTGAGACATTCCCTACATCAGGGGTGTCAAACTCCATTTCATCACAGGCCGTATCAGCATTATGGTTGCCCTCAAAGGGCCGATTGTATCTGTAAGACTAGATGTCCAGAGCACCTCATCCTCCATTACATCAGATGTCAAGAATCCCACACTCTCCCTAATATTACCATACACCCCCTTTTTGGGGGCAGAGCTGGAAAGCAGAAAGTGCAGGGTCTGGAAGAGTGGAGTCAGTTACCAGAATCTGCTGAATGCTGAGACCAGGGGAGGCAGAGATGAGGGGGTACTGCACTGAGAGGTGCAGGATTTGGCAGAGGAGTTCTATTCTCTCCTCTCTGTTGCCAACTGCTGAGACAAGGTGGGGGCAGAGACCAGGGGGTACCTGCAGGAGAGGTGCAAGGACCACATGAAATGGCCTGGAGGGCCAGATTCGGCCCATGTGCCTTGGTGTTTGACACCTGTGCCCTAGCTTGTAACCATTGTTCATTAAGAATTCAAATCTACATGTAAATAGGTACATGTCCCTGCTTCTGGTATACTGTGATTTTATGAGTAATTGTATTAGCTGAAGAGGCCAACTCCAAATAACTCCACCTTCATATCCCCCACCCACCCTGTTCCCTTTACATGTAATGATGTTTATGTTTACCTTTGACCCAGTACAGGAGGAAACCAATAACTTTCAACAAGCCTTAGGCTCCATGCACACTGGGCGTTTTAAGAACACTGGTAACGTTAGCTGTGTTAAGTCATGTGGGTTTTTCAACGTTTTTTGCATTAGCGTTTAGCTGCGTTTTTTAGCTTTTTTTTCTGTTTTTAGTAAACTCTAGGCATGTATCAAACAAAAATGCACACAGCACATGAAAATGAACTAAACTGCTGGTATGTGTACCAACAGAAGAATTCAAGACTCATGTCATTGCTCAAAGACACAATCATCAGGTAAATGCAATATGCCTTTTTGAAGGACTTCCAGGTAAAACGTGACTGATATTACTGAAAATAGTGTCCGAAATATGACATTTGGGTGATCATAGAACTTGGATGAAACTTTGTATCAATAGTGAATTCTCCATGAGATATCCGCCATCTGATGTCACTATTGGTACCATACACCAAGTCCTGGTGGGGACACGGAAATACACGCTCTTGCTGGGCATTCATCAATCCACGTGTACCTGGAGGGAAGCGGAGCCCATTCATCATAAGTCCTGATGCTGGCGGCTGTCTCCAGGCTTGACCCTAACAATAGGAGAAATCGTGCACGGTCTCTTATTCACTGCACAGGTGATGAGTGAAACTTTATTCATACAGAAACTATATCACGGCCCCAGGGCCTTCTCTACTTGAAGCTTTATAGCAACTGCCATATTGACTTTCTTTTATGTCACTTCTCTTATCACAGGATGGGGTAACAACATCATACTTCGTGGATATTCACAGTTTCCATGTCAGCTATACATTAAGGGAGGCATTTAGGCTGCATGTCGGCGGTGAATTACATTTATATCATTATTGGCAGGGCCCTGCTACTCCAACTTCTGATGGCGGATGTCTCATGGAGAATTCACTATTGATACAAAGTTCTGTCTAAGTTCCATGATCACCCAAATGTCATATTTCAGACACTATTCTCAGCAGTATCAGTCACGTTTAACCTGGAAGCCCTTCAAAAAGGCATATTGCATTTACCCGATGATTGTGTCCTTGAGCAATGACATTATGCGTCTCGAAAATTTCTCTTGGCGCACATACCAGCAGTTTAGTTCATATTCATGCCTAGAGTTGAATTTTTACCAGATCTCTAGCACTCTCTAGTTGGGCTCCTCAATCCATATATCTCATTGGTGCAAATGTAATGTTTTTACATTATTGATGCACAGCCTTATATATATCAATATTTATCGTATATATCCCCAACATGGTGGTGTGCCCCATGTGCCTGTGCTGTTCATACCTAAGACCTAGGGGCATTGTCTTTACAGCATAACTACATACATGACTGGTCATGACATCCTCCTTTTATTATTATTTTTGTTTTTTAGGTTGTTTCTTTTGGTATTGTCTCTTCTTGTGGTCTTTACCTAAGTGTCTAAATATGTGCAATTTTTGCAATAAAGCATAATTTTTTTATGACTTCCTGGGTATCGCTTTCTGTCCATAATGTAACCGCTTTCTCTTTGTGAATTCCTTTTCAGTTTTTTTGCTGTCTGGTTTTGGTTACTGGGCAGATAAAACACATTCAGCGATACAAGTTGATATTAAACGGCCTCAATCTCTTTTGTAGTTATTCAGTATTGAGTTGGCCCACCCTTTGTAGCTATAACAGCTTCAACTCTTCTGGAAAGGCCATCCACAAGGTTTAGGAGTGTGTCTATGAGAATGTTTGACCATTCTTCCAGAAGCACATTTACGAGGTCAAGCACTGATGTCGGACGGGAAGGCCTGGCTCGCAGTCTCTGCTCTAATTCATCCCAAAGGTGTTCTGTCGGGTTGAGGTCAGGACTGTGCAGGCCAGTCAAGTTCCTCCACCCCAAACTTGCTCACCCATGTCTTCAAGGACCTTACTTTGTGCACTGGTATGCAGTCATGTTGGAACAGGAAGGAGCCATCCCTAAACTGTTCCCACAAAGTTGAGAGCATGAAATTGTCCAAAATGTCTCAGTATGCTGACGTCTTAAGACATCCCTTCACTGGAACTAAGGGGCCAAGATCAACCCCTGAAAAACAACCCCACACCATAACCCCCCTCCACCAAACTTTACACATGGCACAATGCAGTCAGGCAAGTACCGTTCTCTTGGCAAGCACCAAACCCAACACATCCACCGGATTGCCAGACAGAGAAGTGTGATTCGTCACTCCAGAGAACACGTCTCCACTGCTCTAGAGTCCAGTAGCAGCATGCTTTACACCGCTGCATCTTTCAATGCACTTGGTCATGTAAGGCTTGGATGCAGCTGCTTTGTCATGGAAACCCATTCAATGAAACTCTCTATGTACTGTTGTGCTATTCTGAAGGGCGACACGAAGTTTGGAGGTCTTTAGCTATTGACTTTGCAGACAGTTGGCGACTTCTACACACTATGCACTTCAGCCTGCGCTGACCCCGCTCTGTCATTTTACGTGGCCTACCACATCGTGGCTGTTGTTCCTAGTTGCTTCCACTTTGTTATAATACCACTAACTGTTGACTGTGAAAAATTTAGTAGCAAGGAAATTTCATGGATGGACTTACTGCACAGGTGGCAACCTATCACGGTACCACGTTTGAATTCACTAAGCTTCTTTCACAAAAATTGTAGAAGCAGTCTGCATGCCTATGTGCTTGAGTTTATATACCTGTGGCCATGGAGAGGATTGGAACACCTGAGTTCAATGATTTAAAGGGGTGTACCAATACTTTTGGCAATACAACGTATAAACAGCTTGTGACTGATATAAAAAGTCCTTGTTTGGGGTGGAAACACTGTGCCAGTCGCCTGCCTGAAAATCACACTGTCAAATGCCTTCCCAAAAAGGGGAAAAAAAAAAATAAGCATCTATGCTAAAGCAGGAATATTACACTAATTTTAATAAAGAAAAGGCCTAAAAAAAAAAACCAAAAACGTGCAGCCAGTGACAAAAGCCCAGTACACAAAAAAAGGTAAATTCAGCCAGTCCAGTTATGTGCATGTGTACAGCAACAGGCTTTGAAAAATTTCACGGACAGCAAAAAGGAGGAAATATGCCCTGTGAAACAAAAATTCATACGCAGCCTGTTATGATTATAGATGGTGCATGTTGAGAGGCGGTAAAAAAGCTGCAGGACACAGCAGGAATAAGATGTAAAAATTCTTGCCTCCCAATTTCCCAAGACACACAGCATTTTGCTATCTAAAAAGGACCTTGCATAAGGTTATACAACCAATTTAAGAAACCAATTCCTGTGAGAGCCCAACACAAATCTAACTTAGGCACTTCATCGGCAGAACTCCCTACGCTTTCTCTAGCATACCTAATGCACATTGTTATTAGGGCCACTGGGAAACCTAGCTTTTTATAGTGAGGGGCTAGTACATAAAGTCCCCATTATTGACCAGTCTAAACCAAAAGACCCAAACACAAAGGCCAGGAAGTACATTACTGGTAGTTTGCCATTTCTTCAAAATGAAACAAGTTAGATTCGCCTCAAACCAATGCTCAACCCAAACCTGATTCTTACCAAGACCTATCAATATACTAAACCTGTTTCAACACAGAAACAGTGAAAAGCTTAAGCGCCAGAAGCAGTGAAATAAGAGCCAAAGGTCATATTAATTAGTGATATATAAAAAATGTAAGCATGTGGGAAACCTCTGATCTTTATTGTTAGGAAATGTAAAGATCTACTTTAAAAGTCACTTCAGTGAAAATTTTAGCAAGTCACATTTGCTTTAATATATTAGAGGCAAGTATACTATGGATGATGAAGCATTTTGTAATTTTTTTCCCTTTTTTCTTTTAAATGGCAAAAGTATAGCAACAAAACTGCACAAAGATTCCTCAATTCTGCCTGGGCTTTCCAATTTATGTAAACCTTGGTGATAAGGTCTCCATTGTATAAATGAAAGTGGGACCCTAAAAAGGTTCTGTACATACAGGTTGGGAGCCTCATTAAAGGAAATCTGAGGAAATAAAGGGTTGAAGTTATCGTCATACTAATGCTTTATCTTCAATGTTATCTTAGCCAGAGACCTGGGAAAAGCAAAGACTAAGAATTTTACACTGACTCAAATACAGCATGATTTGCGGCAGGTCTCTGGCCTAAAAGAAAGTCAGGCAACTAGTATTTCCAGAAGGAAATCAACAATGGCAGATCTCAATTTTCTCATTGCAGAGTCACTTTAAACAAAGGGCAAACGGGAGGTATAGCTGTGCTGTCCTCTGCATATATGCCTCATTTTACCAGTTTATTCCAAGGTGATTTTACTGATCACAGCAAACTAGCTAGTTTTACCATAGAATGTGACTATGTAAAGCAACCCTGACCTACAGATAAAAAAATATATCCCAAAATGTTTTATTCTACCTTGACAAAAGGTATATGTTCTAAAAATGGTGTGGGACAAAAGCATATTGCTGAAAATCTATACACATGCACAAAAAGTGCAGCCATCCAAAATAGAATTAGGTTAGGCAAAGAGCTCAAACAGAAATTGTTTATAAAGTAACATTTTGTGAAGATGCCGTCTTACACAAAATAGGAAATGTTTACAAAGTTTTTTGAAAATTGCAGCATCTGTATTGCACTGCACAAGAAAACAGATCCAATTGGATGGTGAGCTATAAAACTAACCGAGGTATTTGTAAATAAAAACAAAAAAAAACGGTATTTTTTTGAGAACCATGCCATAATTTTTAGCATGTATGAAGACATATAGAGAAGTGCCTTTAGTCCCATTTCCAGGGTCTTCTCCAGCATACTGGCAGCAGTTCATAAGAAAAAAAGTCCATAATAATCTTTAATCTTCCTCTTCCTCCTCTTGCTTCACCTTCTTTTTCTTCTTCTTCTTTTTGGAAGGCTTTTAAAAGGAAGCAGTGTAGGAAATAAGTATAAACAATGCTAAAAGTCAACACAAACTTATCAATGTGTAAAAACTTGGGCTACTTTCACACTGAGGAGTTTTTGCAATAAAAAAAGTACCTGAAAAGCTCAAGAAAAATACTTCCCTATGTATGTGAATGTATATCTATGTATGTTTTCACACTGAGGCGTTGCGCTTGTGGTGCTGTGTAAAAACTCCTGTTTGCAGCATCTTTGGGGCATGTTTGGTGTGTTGGAAAAAAAAAAAATGCCCAAAAATGCCTCTTCCCATTGAAATCAATGCCTGAAAAGTGCCTCAAAAAATGCCTCTGAGAAGCATTTTTGGTGCCGTTTTTAAGTCACGTGTCCTTTAAAAAAAAATGTTCAGAAAGCGTGACAAAAGCGCCTATGTGTTTTTGTAGCGGATCAGTGTAAAAGTAGCCTAGGTGTACGCTTATATTTAGACTAGCCATGTAATGTACATGATGTAGCAGACCTCAGCATCACATGCAAAAAAAAAAAAATACAGTGTGTAAATATAAAGCAACTGCTTCAACCACTTCCCGACCGCCCTATAGCAGAAATATTGGTACAGGGCGGCACGGGTGCGTAAAACCATATATATATATAATGTGATTTTGCATTTCCAGATAGGGGGCGCCATTTGCGGAGGTGGCTGTCAATCACCAGGTCCAGGCCAGTGATTAGTCGCCGGCGCCTGCTGATTGCCGAGCATCTCCAACAGGGAGAACTGTTTGTAAACAAAACAGTTCTCCTCCCTGTCAGCTCGTGCACACTGCATGATTGTGCTGTGTACAGCCATCCAAAGCAAAGCAGTGTGCTTACAGTGAAGCACAGGGACATAGCTTGTAGAAAAACAGCACACAGTTAACCCTTTGATTGCCCCTCATGTTAACCCCTTCTTGCCCAGTGCCATTAGTAGTCTCAGTGCTTATTTTTAGCACTGATCACTGTATTGGTGTCACTTTTCCCCCCCAGTGTCAGAATTTCCACCGCATTCCCGCTATGAGTCGTTGATCGCCGCCATTACTAGTAAAAATAATAAATAAAATATCCCAGTGTATATACCACCATTCGTAAACGCTATAACTTTGACGTAAACCAATTAATTTACATGTATTGGAATTTTTTTTAGCCACATATAGCAGAATACATTTTGATCTAAATTTATGACGAAATTTTTTTTTTTTTTTTTTTTTTTCAAATTTTGCTGGACATGTTTAAAAGCAAAAAGTTAAAATATTTTTTTTTTCTCAAAATTGTTTGGTCTTATTTTTTATAGCACAAAAAATTAACGCACAGGCAAAAGAAAGCTCAATTCGTGGGAAAAAAAAGGGACGTAAATTTCATTTGGGTGCAGTGTTTCATAACCGCGCAATTGCCAGTTAAAGTAACGCAGCACCGTATTGCAAAAAAATAGCCTGGTCAGGAAGGGGGGTAAATCCTCTGGAGGGCAAGTGGTTAAAGGGCAGGTTCACCTTTTTGACAAAAATTATAGAAATACACTTTTTTTGCACGTAAAAAAATGTGCATTTATTATTTAAATACGGCAGCCTGGAAAGCATTGCACCAGTGATCAGCAGATCGCTGATGCCATGCAGGTCTCCTGCAGACCTGTCAGATTATCTGCTTGTGGTACGTGATGTACGAGCAAGAAGATATTTTGACAGGAAGCTTCAATGAACTACCACGGTGCTCCACAGCGCCGTGGTAGTTCACTGAAAGCTACAAGCCCACAGCCGCTAACGCTGTCAGGACTTGCATTCATTCACAGAAGTCCGTGAATGAATGACGTGGTTGTGTGGGCGGAGTCCCGCGCAGCCAAGCTGTTTTCAAATTTGACAGATAGTTCGGGGAGACTTCTGTTGCGTGTCTGTGGTGTACTCCTTTTGTTAAATAAAAATACTAAAGACACTGGATAAGCATGGCAACCAGGAAGCATTTTCAGTAGCAGGTTAATCATTTGTCTACTGGGCACTTTCACCCCCTTCCTGCCCAGACCAATATTCAGCTTTCAGTGCCGTTGCACTTTGAATAACTATTGCGCAGTCATGCAACACTGTACACATGAAATTTGTATAGTTTTTTTTTTTTTTTTTTTTTTTAGACATATAGAGCTTTCTTTTGGTGGTATTTAATCACCAGCTTTTTTTTTTTTTTGCTAAACTAAAAAAAAACTTTTTTTTTTTGTCTTAGTTTGTTATAAAATTTTGTAAACAAGTAAATTTTCTCCTTCCCTGATGTGGCTCCACTGATAAGCACCGATGGACACTGACTGGCAGCATTGATGGACACGGTTGAGGCTGCACTGGACTGCCTCTGATTTTTTTTTTGCCTATTACCACCAACTGTATTTATATTGTGATCAGCTATGTCATTGGACAGCTGATCATGTGATATAAGTGCGTTGTGATTGGCCCTTTACCATGTCATGTGATCAGCTGTGTCCGACGCACACAGCGATCACAGAGCTTGCCAGATGCATGCCCCAGGGGGCGCGTGGGAGGCGCGGTTCTGGAGGATGTCATATGACGCCCTCCCAGAACTAGACAACTGCACTGTAGCAGTCATTCGGCTATAGCCCAGTCATCAAATGGTTAAAAATGGCAGCCTCAATAATATCTTAGCAAAGGTTTCATTTAACACTGAACTTAGCATTGGCTTTTAGACAGCAAGAACCCAGTCATCCAAGCAGATCATTCTATCTCTAGCATCTTTATACTCTTCTAGTACATTACCTCAGCTGTGCTAGTTGAAGGTTCTTCCTCTGCTTGTTCTTCCTCTTCTACTTTCACTTTACTTTTCTTCTTTTTTTTCTTTGGGGTTTTCTCAACTTCTTCTGGTTCTGATAACAAAAGAATACATTTAGCCAAAATCAAGCATTTCTATTAGTACAATCAGTTCACGATCACTTGCCTTCTTCTGCTTCTATCTCCATTATTTTGGGTTTCTTTGCTTTTTTCTCTTTGACCGCAACTGGCTGCTCCTCTTGCTCAACCTCCTCAAACTTTCGCTTCTTGGGGACAGATGGCAAAGTTGAATCCCCCGATGGGTCATAGGTCCTCACTTCACTGAAAAATATACACATATTAACAAATACAGCACATTGAACTACTTCTAGTCATCCGATACACCAAAACTTTTGCTCTTTAACCACTTAAAACTCCGGAAGATTCATGAGCAAGCCAATTTATGTGATACGGCACTGCATTACTTTGACTGCACGGTCATGCAACGCTGTGTATGAATAAAATTTATGTCATTTTGTTTTCCTCAAATAGAGCTTTCTTTTGGTGGTATTTTATACCTCCAGGTTTTTTTTTTTATTTTTTGCGCTATAAATGAAGAAAAAAAAAAAGACATACGCAAAAAAACCCCCCCCAAAATATCTTTTTTTCAGCTTTCTGCTATAAAACATCCAAAAAATAAAATTAAAAAAATCTAATTTTTTTCATAAAATTTAGGCCAAAATGTATTCTGCTACATATTTTAGGTAAATAAATCCCAATAAGCATATATTGATTGGTTTGCGCAAAAGTTCTAGTGTCTACAAATGACAAATATACTGGATTTTTTTTTGTTAATACTATCGATCAGTGACTAATAGCAGGACTGAGATATTGCGGCAGAAAGTCTGACACTGTGGAAACCAGTGACACTACTACAGTGCTCAGTACAAAAATATACACTGACACGGTTTTAAAAAGTGGATGTAAAGGCTGAAGGTTTTTTACCTTCATGCATGAAGGTAAAAAAAACCTGTGTGCAGCATTCCGCCCAGCCCCCTCAATTTTTTACCTGAGCCTCATCGCAATCCAGCGATGTGAATCATAGCCTCGGCTGTCCAGGGTCTCTGCCTCCTCACTGGCTGAGACAGCAAGCAGGAGTCATTGGTTCCCACTGCTGTCAATCACAGATAGTCAGCCAAAGAGGAGAGAGAGGACAGGACCAAGCTGCGGCTCCATGTGTGAATGAACAAACACAGAGCAGCAGGTGCCCCCATAGCAAGCTGCTTGCCATGGGGCATCCGACAAGGAGGGGCCAGGAGAGCCTGTGGGGAACCCGAGGAGGATCCAGGCCGCTCTGTGCAAAACCACTGCACACAGCAGGCAAGTATAGACAAGGCCCCAACAGTGATTGGATGTCTAGTGAAAGTGATCTGGACAGCTCTACAGCCACCTGACCACTTTTATGGTATTGAGAAAGGCCATCCCCATCTCCCACTGCTGTCCTGCAGTAAAATGGCAAGGATTGCTTTACACAGAAGAGACGTAGAAACATCCTCCCCCATATCTCTTCTGTGACGTTGCTGTCACTTCTGGTTTCAGAACGGTCATCTGTGTTTAGTTAGCTGCTTTTGAGAGCAGGTGAGACATTAGGGATCTAACAGACCCCTGATGTCTCCATAAAAAGCACCTGCCACTGCCCAAAGCTACTACATAGGGTGCTTGTTAGTCCAAATGCAATAGTAAAAAAGTTGAAAAAAAAACCCCACATTTTAAAAAAGCGTAACAAAATTTAAATAAAAATGGTATAAAAAAAAAATATAAAACAAGCACCCCTGCCCCTGGCAGGAGAGTAAGAGAAATAATTCTAGGGCCATCATTCATGATTACCTCACACTGATAAGCAGTAAAAACTTAAGTGTCAACTATGAGAAATCTTAGGTACCGTAGTCTGAAGCCATTTCACATAAAAACAAATATGAGTCTTGACATATTTGGTATTTACTGGACACGTCTTTTATATTTTACCCCAAAATTGGATTTTACATTGTGTTTGTGTGCGCCAAAATACATTTTATTGTATGTTTTTTTTCTGAAACTTTCCATCTGATTAACGACTGTGCACACATCATTTGATATAAAAATTTGCAACAGTCATTTTATTCTCCAGAGCCTTTGTTTGTTTTTTTTTAAAAAAAGTTTGTTTTCTAGAAAAAGACGCTGATTTTGTTTCCTCCAAAAGCAAAAAATCCTCTTCAAGGCCTGGGTGACCATCCTGACCTTCAGCGATGCTGGGAGATGAAGTCTGCAGGGAAAGTCTATGTGAACTAATAGGAGGCATTTAGGATATTGGTCACCCAGTGCATAGATAGCTGGCTTGGTTTCAACCGTTAACAGGCGCCATTTCCTTGGCATTAAAAACTAAATAAAGTTGTGGCTAGATGAAAAACTGTTCTAACAATAGAGCTGAGACACTTTTTTTGCCCAACTAATAGATTTTAAATTAGACCTCACGGACCTCTGTAGCTGGAAGGACCATAGAGTAGTTCATTAAGGCACACTTTACACTAAAGTGTATGTCTAAGCCCCCCTTTCAGCAGTAACTTGATACCCACCTAATTCATAAAACAAAGCAGAGGCTCTGGAATGGCATCACAGGATTTAGCAGAGTGCTAAGTGACCCAAAACTGGACAGCTTCAGTACTTTTGTTGCAAAGGTTAGGGTTACTAAACCCAGGACCCTGCATTCACTATGTCTGGTCTCCCACAGTACACAGAACATGGGAGTGCATTTTAGTAAATATAAACTGCTAAATACCTTTTCTCATCAGCAGTTAGAGCAGTCTTGTGACTTCTATCAGTGTCCAGCCAAGCACATGTTAAAGCTTGTAGGAAGATTTTTCATTCTGCTCTAGGAAGATGCAGGACCCCTGGCCTCTGTCTGGACACTTAACCACTTGCTGCCCATGGCACACATGAAATTTTTTTTTTTTTTTTGAAGTGCCTGTCTTCCTCCTGGTGGGTGGGGAAACAACTTGCATGGGCAATGCTTTAGAGATCGCTCACTGCTTAGGAATATCAGTTTGAATGTCTATGGCCTAGCATAGGTTCACTTTACAACCAATGCCTTCTCTTCCTGCTGTCTGTGTCCTACTGTTGAGATTTAATTTAATGTAATTTCATGCCCCAGGGAAAAACATCTGACAACTCTTAAAATTTGGCTATACACTTCAGTCTCAGAAGCATTTCAGAAAAGGAGTAGTACCAATAACATAGAAAGAAAAACTTTCCAAAGCTTCTGCACAAAACAGGGTTTACAAAATAAAATTACCTTTTGTGCTGATATTTGTCTGCCCTGGCAAGTGCTTTTCCAGTGCCACTTATTCTTCTCAGCTGGAGGGTGAAAAAGAACATTCAGTAGGATAACTATAATTTTAGCACTGGCATATCATGGGCTATAAAAATATGAATTGGAAATCCATATCCATGACACACAAAAGGCAAATTTACTGAGTGAAAAAAGGTCTCAGATGAGGTAGTGACTGATATTGCCCTCATAGAAATATCAGGCAATATTAATTAGTCATCATCACAGACCAGACAGCAAAGTGTACTCTTTAAATTACATACCCCTTTCTCCTCCAGATTTCGAAGACGTGCTTCCAATTTTGCTCTAGTCTCTGCCCCCAGCTGAGCATTTGTGTCCTCCCCAAGAGCATCATATCTGATAGCAAGAGCAGCCTTGGCTGCCAGCATACGGGATATCTATATGAACATATATAAAAAAGTTTATCAGTATAGAAAATTCCATATAGCATGCTACAGTGAATGTATTTTGATCAAACAGCTGATATTTATACATATTTTGTATACATATTATGAAATTGATAAATTAGCATATCATTGTATATTGTTCCTCAGAAGAGCTGGTGAGCATAGTTCAGAAAGCAAAGGTTAGGCCAATAATCTCACTATTCTGCTTCATTACCAGAGTCAATAAAACATATTTAAGGCAAAATGCTGAGCCTACACTCACCGGCCACTTTATTAGGTACACCTTGCTAGTGCCAAGAAAATATCCCCAACACCATTACACTACCACCACCAGTCTGGAACCGTTGAAACAACGCAGGATGGATCCATGGTTTTCATGTTTTACACGCCAAATTTTGACCCTACCATCTGAATGTCGCAGCAACCAGTCTGCCCATTCTCTTCTGACAAGGCATTTTTGTCCACACTGCCACTCACTGGATATTTTCTCTTTTTCGGACCAGTCTCTGTAAACCCTAGGGATGGTTGTACGCAAAAATCCCAGTATATCAACAGATTTTTAAATACTCAGACCAGCCCATCCGGCACCAAAAACCATGCTACGTTTAAAGTCAGTTAAATCCCCTTTCTTCCCCATTCTGATGCTCAGTTTGAACTTCAGCAAGTCATCTTCACCACGTCTAGATGCCTAAATGCATTGAGTTGCTGCCATGAGCTTGGCTAATTAGCAATTTGTGTTACCAAGCAATTGAACAGGTGTACCTAATAAAGTGGCTGGTGAGTGCATATATACAGCAGATAACAGGTGTACAAATATGCAAGGTGTAGAAAAAAATAAAAGAAAAATGGGGTCTTCTAGGTATTAAAACTGAAATATGGCTTCTAAAAAAGAAAGCTATTTTAAGTAGACGTCCAATTAGAACGTATCAGCTATAAAAAAAGTTGTATAAAATGGCACTTTTTTAATTTCTTCATAGTAAAGCTTGAATAAAATTGGGATTTTGTTCTTGCTATAAAATTCTTTACTTGAATTCAATTGAACACAGGAATTCTTTTAACCTTTGGATTTATACTGCCCCCTACATGGGGATTGGACTTGACAAACAAAAATAATTTAGAATAGCCAAGGATAAACCCCCCCAACCACAACCAAACAATGGAAGGAAATCTTCTGAAATGGAAAGAAGGATGTGTTGACTGAGGTGAAAGGATGAAACGCTTTAACTAGAAAGGAAGTTCTTGTGTAAGACCAGAAAGTGTTTTTCACAGGATAAGGTTGCCAGCTCAGACACTTGTACATGTACTTCTTGTCAGATAGCAGAAATTTCTCTGGTGGAGAAAGGCGATGACAGACCACATTATACAGCTTTAAGATCCATGATGACGCCGATGTCCCAAAGCATACAACCCTTGATCCCATTCTGCCAAAGGAACTGGAGAAATATCCAAAAGTCCTTCTAGGGTTGCCTGGAGATCTGCTAAGCTGCACAGCGACACAGAATGTTGGAAGTAATGAACTTTAGAAAGGGCTTGAAGGGACACTCTAGTCTGCAGCCCCTGGAGACCGCCTCCCAGCTGTCCTAGAGTCTGGAATGCCCCCCTGGAAAACATTGCACCACTGTGATGCCATGCAGGTCTCCTGCAGAACTGTCAGAATATCTGCTTGCTGTAAGGGATGTACAGGAAGCTTCAGTGAACTACCACGGCGCTCCAGTTCTTTGAAAACTACAAGCTGCTAAGGCTGCCGAGACTTGTAGGAGCTCATTCACATAACTCTGTGAATAAGTGAGGTGGCTGTGTGGGGCAGAGCACCACATGGCCATGCGGTTTTCAAATCTGACAGATAGAATGGGGAAACTTCTCCCCATAATCTGCGAGGGAAGATACTGAGCACACTTTTGGCCTCCTCTTTAGGGCCAATGCACAATGGGCTTATAAAAACGCTGCTTCTACAGGAGTTTTGCCTGTAGAAGCTCAAATGTTATTCTGTTTGTCCATGCATGTGATACATTTGTGACATGGGTGTATAGAATGCATGTGTGAAGGATGATTGACACTCAATTGCCATAATTTTAGTAGGATATATCAGTGGAGAAGTAACTAGAGTTTAGAATAAGACAAGGACATTGTTAAAATCTGTCAAGGCTAGATTTATGACTCATAGTCACAAGATGTGCAGTCGCAATCAGTCAAGGAGTTCTAGTTACAAGATGTATAGTCGGAACAAGTCAAGGTTAATAGTCACAATAGTTACAGAGTCCACTGCGCATGGCAGTAGACAAGGACACTGCAAACTATGTATATAAAAGAAGGGGGACTCTAGGGGAATTTGGGACTCGTTGACGCGGCAGACGTGCCTTGCGGTGATTTCCCGGATTTCCCCTTGCTGATTGCTGGAGTCCCCCAATCGTTGGGCAATGGGTGATGCTACAATATCCGTGATGTATTGATGCTTTATTCTTGCTATAATATGATCTAAATATGATTTGCAATTCTGACAACTCTTATGTTATTATACTAACAGAACTTGTTCAATAAATCATGTTTTGCTTTAATATTTATTAAGCCTAATTTGTGTATTAGTGAGTGATTGTAGTAGTGTTAAAAACACTTTGTTTGAGGCAAAACAATGCATTGGGACGTTTAGTAGAATATTTTAAGCTCATCATTCAGAGGGGGAAAAAACAAAACAAAAACCCCCCCAAAAAAAAAAAACACGCCAAATGCTCCTATACGTGAACTGTTTTTTTTAACTGTTATTTGGGTCATAAAACAATGCATGACTGACATAAAAACCTTCATGGAAAGGGCAGAGGAAGCTACCATGACCAACTCAGCTAAAGAAGACTCCAAGGAACTAAAAGCAGAAGAAAGGAAGATTGCAGGCTGCAGATGTCTGCAGCAGCAGTGGGCACACTGCACTACAGCCATGTGTGCTGGAAATACCTAAACAGCAGGACTGCTCCCCTTGTCTAGCATTAGATATATTGCAACCATGTGGAGGTAAAGCAACAAGTTCAGGTATAAGGCAAGCCCTCACAAAATCCAACTTGTAGTAGAAGTAAAAAGGTCAGATATTGGGAGGTGTCCATGTCCATGTAGGCAGGCAGCAGGAACTTCATATCAGAGTTCCACATGGCTCATGGCAATGTAGAAGGCACACTGGAGAGATGCTTGGACCCAAAGGAGTTGTCAGCACTCAATCCCTCAGTGTTAAGCCCTTATACGGTGGAAACCAGCACGAAGCAGGGATTTTAAGTGTACAATGATCAAAACAAATGAGACACTACCTAATGTTCAGACCAAGCAGCCTGCTCACGGAGTGCATCTTCAAAAACAGGGCAAGCACTGTGGTAATGCCAACATCTTTGAACCTGGAAAGCGCTTCTTGGCTAACTGGTTATTAGATAGGGTCCCAAAGGCCACTTCCGGGCTAGTTTTGCAAAGTCCAATCCAGTGGGGTCCAGTCACAGCACTCCAAATGCAGCAGAGGACAAAATGCGCCTAAAAAACTGCTGTCTTACAGCCCAGGTCAAGCGATGCCTGGAATGAAGAACAGATTACTCCCTTTCCTGTCAGAGTTAAAGAAAAAGACACAAAAAACATAGAACTCCTTCCTACCCCACATCCAACTGCTATCTAGATCTTGCAGGCTCCAACTCCGCAACATCTCCAAGATACGCACATTCCTTACCCCAGACACCACCAAACAACTCGTACACTCCCTCATCATCTCACGCCTGGACTATTGCAACTCCCTTCTCACTGGCCTACCCAAACGAACGCTATCATCACTCCAGTCGATCCTAAACTCAGCGGCCAGACTCATCCACCTCACCAAAGCGCTCCACATCTGCCTCCCCCCTCTGCCAATCCCTTCATTGGCTCCCGATTGCCCAACGCATCAAGTTCAAGCTGCTAACCCTGACCTACAAGGCCACTCACAATGCCGCCCCGAACTACATAACTGACCTGATACCCAGATACGACCCTACCCATGCCCTCCGCTCCTCACAGGACCTCCTGCTCTCTAGCTCCCTGGTCTCCTCCTCCCACGCCCGATTGCAGGACTTCTCTAGGACTTCCCCCATCCTCTGGAACTCCCTACCCCAATCCATCAGAATGTCACCTACCCTCCTCACCTTTAGGCGCACCCTGAAAACACTCCTCTTCAGGGAAGCCTACTCCAACCTCACCTAACACCCGACCTCACCTAACAACTAACCTACTCCACTCCACCCACCACAGCCATCTCCTCCTGTGCCACCTTCCCCTCCCTCCTAGATTGTAAGCTCGAAAGAGCAGAGCCCTCGAACCCCTTGTGTAATGTATTGTTACTGTCTTGTCTCATGTTATGTCCCCCTTGCTATTGTACAGCGCTGAGCATACCCTTTGGCGCTATATAAATACTGTATAATAATAATAACTCAGAGAGGGGTAGAGTTATAGGAGGACACCCAGAGGGAAGAGTCTTTGCTAGTGTCCAGTCACCTGAAGGTACCTTCCTACAATGCAAGGTCTATCAGTCCTATGTCCTGTACGATTAAAGGACAAGTTCACCTTTTGAAACAGGTTGCATGTTCCACCCGTATTTAGGGTGGAACATGTAACATGTTCCAGCAGCTGCAGCCTGCCTCTCCCTGTCCTCCCAGTGACAGCGAGTGGGGATTGTCTCCCGGCACCTGCTGCTATTTAAAAAGAACGCGGTGAAGAGGGGTTCTGCCCACATGGCTGTGTCATTCAATCAGTTTCTTGTAATGACATGAACTACAAGAACAGTCACCCTTGGTGGCTTATGGTTTATAGTCCTGAATGGACTGCAGAGTCATTGATGAGCAGTCTCAAAGTTCATTCACAAGCCCTGCAGCTTGTAAACAGTCAAAGGCACAGGCTGAAAACTTGTCTGCAGGAGTTGGGCTTTACATCCCTGATACACTCATCACAGGTGCAATGCTTTCCAGACTCAAAAAGGAAAAAAAAAAAATGCACTTTTTGTTGCTGCAAAAATATGTGCATTTATTATTTTTCCCCAAAAGGTGAACTTATCCTTTAAGATAAGAAAGTTTGATACTTTGTGAACAGTTCTCCAACAAATGTGATTTTGACCAATAAAAATACTAATACCAGAGAACCCAATAGGGCTTTAAATGACTAAGGCAAAAGGACACAAAATAGTTTCATGCAATACATCTCACAAGACCCACCTTTCCCTTATTCTTAGGCGTAGTCTGTCCAACTAGGGAAGCATGGTAAATAAGACCATATTTAGGAGTGTCCTTTTTGGTCTTCAGTGCTCTAAACAATGCCTTTTCTGCTCCCAAGATCTGCACAGTAGAAGCCGGGTGTTTTGCCAGATTTAGAAGGGAACCTGAAAGAGGACATATTAAGGTAATTCAGAACCAAAGGGCTCATTCAGACCTGTTTATACACGAACATGCACTGCATTAAGGAAGCCCATTCAAATAAATGCACCAGAATGGACCCACAATTAAACAAGCACTATTTTTATCTGATGCAGCACAGAACAAATGGCAGTGTTCTGCAACAGATGTGCGTCAAGAGGTGTGTTGGGTAAACGTGTTGCAGGTGACAGCGCACATGGTAGCAATGCACAGGACTAGAGAGGTTCAAATAGGATTTAATCCAGCAAAGTATTAGGCCCAACCAGGGTGGATAAAAATCAGTGATTTAAAAAAAAAAAAAAAAAAAAAAAAAAAAAAATCAGATTTTTTTATTTAACTCGGATTTTTTTAAATAAAATGTTTTTTGAGGAAAATATATTACCATCCAAAGGTTATTCTATCGTGAAATAAAGATTACCGTATTTTTCGCTCCATAAGGACGCGCCTAGGTTTTAGAGGAGAAAAACAAGAAAAAAAAAATATTCTGAACCAATGGACTGCAGACACAGTGCAGGGGGTGACCAGAGACTGCGGACACAGTGCAGGGGGTGACCAGAGACTGCGGACACAGTGCAGGGGGTGACCAGAGACTGCGGACACAGTGCAGGGGGTGACCAGAGACTGCGGACACAGTGCAGGGGGTGACCAGAGACTGCGGACACAGTGCAGGGGGTGACCAGAGACTGCGGACACAGTGCAGGGGGTGACCAGAGACTGCGGACACAGTGCAGGGGGTGACCAGAGACTGCAGACAAGTGCAGGGGGACACAGACTGACCAGAGACTGCAGACACAGTGCAGGGGATGACCAGAGACTGCAGACAAGTGCAGGGGATGACCAGAGACTGCAGACAAGTGCAGGGGATGACCAGAGACTGCAGACAAGTGCAGGGGATGACCAGAGACTGCACTGCAGGGGATGACCAGTGCAGACAAGTGCAGGGGATGACCAGAGACTGCAGACAAGTGCAGGGGATGACCAGAGACTGCAGACAAGTGCAGGGGATGACCAGAGACTGCAGACAAGTGCAGGGGATGACCAGAGACTGCAGACAAGTGCAGGGGATGACCAGAGACTGCAGACAAGTGCAGGGGATGACCAGAGACTGCAGACAAGTGCAGGGGATGACCAGAGACTGCAGACAAGTGCAGGGGATGACCAGAGACTGCAGACAGTGCAGGGGATGACCAGAGACTGCAGACAGTGCAGGGATGACCAGAGACTGCAGACAAGTGCAGGGGATGACCAGAGACTGCAGACAAGTGCAGGGGATGACCAGAGACTGCAGACAAGTGCAGGGGATGACCAGAGACTGCAGACAAGTGCAGGGGATGACCAGAGACTGCAGACAAGTGCAGGGGATGACCAGAGACTGCAGACAAGTGCAGGGGATGACCAGAGACTGCAGACAGTGCAGGGGATGACCAGAGACTGCAGACAGTGCAGGGGATGACCAGAGACTGCAGACAGTGCAGGGGATGACCAGAGACTGCAGACAGTGCAGGGGATGACCAGAGACTGCAGACAGTGCAGGGGATGACCAGAGACTGCAGACAGTGCAGGGGATGACCAGAGACTGCAGACAGTGCAGGGGATGACCAGAGACTGCAGACAGTGCAGGGGATGACCAGAGACTGCAGACAGTACAGGAGATTACCAGAGACTGTGGACCTTTGGGAGAGGGAGGGGGAGCGGGTACCTGAATTTGACAGGTACCCGCTCCCACTTCCGCGGAGTTGTCCTTCCTTCTTCCCGCGGTGGCTTCTGTGACAGCCGGGTGCTGACTGCACATGCGTGAGAAGCGCTGCACTTTGTGAATGGCCCGGAGCCTTCTGGGACCTGTCATGTGTCCCAGAAGACGCCGGATCATTCACAAAGCGCAGCGCTTCTCGAGCATGCGCAGTGGCACCCGGCTGTCACAGAAGCCGCCGTGGGAAGACTGCAGCGCTGGAGCGAGGAACAGGTAAGGTCCTGCAGGAGAGAACAGCTGAGCGGCCGGCCCGGTATTCTAACATGGTGGCGGCAGAAATACCGGACCGGCCGCTTTACATTCGCTCCATAAGACACACTGACATTTCCCCCCCTTTTTTGGGGGGAAAAAAGTGCGTCTTATGGAGCGAAAAATACGGCAGTTTTTTAATTATGTAGAATAAGGCTGTATATGTTTGTTTTGGTAAATAAATTCCATGAATCCATTCACAATGTCATGCTCTTCCAGAGGTTTTTGTAAGATTATTGGGCAGTTCTCTGCCTACAAGATATTATCACAGATGCTTGGTTTACTTTTGCAGTTCTCAAAACTGAGTTTGACTCAGCGGAGATCAGATGCCTCTTCTTCACAGCAAAAATGTATAGAGTTAAGAAAAAGACCTTAATCCTAACTTCTACAAACCTATGAATACAGAATCAACCCCTTCAGTGCTAAGTTTCAAGAAGTTCAGTGTATAGAATAGAAACAATATTTTTCTGTTTGGAGTGGAATAGATCTGCACAAGAAGAAAGTGAAAGTGTGAGGAGGAAGGGGCTGACAGTCTAAGTTTCTTATATATACAGTGGGGCAAAAAAGTATTTAGTCAGCCACCAATTGTGCAAGTTCTCCCACTTAAAAAGATGAGAGAGGCCTGTAATTGGCATCATAGGTAGACCTCAACTATGAGAGACAAAATGAGAAAAAAAATCCAGACAATCACATTGGCTGATTTGGAAAGAATTTATTTGCAAATTATGGTGGAAAATAAGTATTTGGTCACCTACAAACAAGCAAGATTTCTGGCTCTCACAGACCTGTTCCTTCTTCTTTAAGAGGCTCCTCTGTCCTGCACTCATTACCTGTATCAATGGCACCTGTTTGAACTTGTTATCAGTATAAAAGACACCTGTCCACAACCTCAAACAGTCACACTCCAAATTCCACTATGGTGAAGACCAAAGAGGTGTCGAAGGGCACCAGAAACAAAATTGTAGACCTGCACCAGGCTGGGCAGACTGAATCTGCAATAGGCAAGCAGCTTGGTGTGAACAAATCAACTGTGGGAGCAGTAATTAGAAAATGGAAGACATACAAGACCACTGATAATCTCCCTCGATCTGGGGCTCCACGCAAGATCTCACCCCCCGTGGGGGTCAAAATGATCACAAGAACGGTAAGCAAAAATCCCAGGACCACACGGGGGGGACCTAGTGAATGACCTGCAGAGAGCTGGGACCAACGTAACAAAGGCTACCATCAGTAACACACTACGCCACCAGGGACTCAGATCCTGCAGTGCCAGACGTGTCCCCCTGCTTAAGCCAGTACATGTCCGGGCCCATCTAAAGTTTGCTAGAGAGCATTTGGATGAGCATAAAATGATTGGGAGAAGGTCATATGGTCAGATGAAACCAAAATAGAACTGTTTGGTAGAAACACAACTTGTCGTGTTTGGAGGAGAGAGAATGCTGAGTTGCATCCAAAGAACACCATACCTACTGTGAAGCATGGGGGTGGCAACATCATGCTTTGGGGCTGTTTCTCCACAAAGGGACCAGGACGACTGATCCATGTACAGGACAGAATGAATGGGGCCATGTATCGTGAGATTTTGAGTGCAAACCTCCTTCCATCAGCAAGGGCATTGAAGATGAAACGTGGCTGGGTCTTCCAACATGACAATGATCCCAAACATACCGCCCGGGCAACGGAGTGGCTTCGTAAGAAGCATTTCAAGGTCCTGGAGTGGCCTAGCCAGTCTCCAGATCTCAACCCCATAGAAAACCTTTGGAGGGCGTTGAAAGTCTGTGTTGCCCAGCGACAGCCCCAAAACATCACTGCTCTAGAGGAGATCTGCATGGAGGAATGGGCCAACATACCAGCAAGTGTGTGCCAACCTTGTGAAGACTTACAGGAAACGTTTGACCTCTGTCATTGCCAACAAAGGATATATAACAAAGTATTGAGATGAACTTTTGATATTGACCAAATACTTATTTTCCACCATAATTTGCAAATAAATTCTTTCCAAATCAACCAATGCGATTGTCTGGATTTTTTTCTCATTTTGTCTCTCATAGTTGAGGTCTACCTATGATGCCAATTACAGGCCTCTCTCATCTTTTTAAGTGGGAGAACTTGCACAATTGGTGGCTGACTAAATACTTTTTTGCCCCACTGTATATTTTTGTTTAGCCAAATTAGCTAACAAACATGGATGTTTGTTTAAGCAAATAACATATGCTGTAATGTTATTGTTTCAGTTGAATAAATCTATTTAAAATTGTTATTAAGGTAATGATTATTTTTCTCCTTCCTAAGTACAACAGAAAAGTTGCCCAAATATGAATGATTAACCTATTAAACTGGGGATAAAAAAAACGAATATGAAAAGTTGTTATTCTAAAAATCTTCATCTACTTGCATATTAAAGTTATACCAGCAAGAATTAGTCTTTATGTAGAAAAAACTAGGATTTAAATCAAGCCTTCCTGACTAGTGATTTAAATTACATCCACCCTGGGCCCAACTGATTTAAAAGTGGTTGTAAACCCTCACATACTTGCAGTGAAGTGACTGGCCTCAGGTGATACACAGAGATAAAACAAATGCTCTTATACAAGTTGTACCTGTTTATCTGCAGTCTCACGTTCTCTACAACCAAAGAAAATGCAGAATTTAGGCTTGGTTCACACCTATGCCGTTTTCCTTTTGTTCCATTTGCAGTGCTTTTGCATTTTTTTTAATCTGCCCAACAAATTGACCCCCCCCCCTCTCCACTCATAAACGTGTCAAAAATGCATTATATGCTTTTCTCAACATCTCCACTGAAATACTGCTACAGGGCAAAGACTCCCTGTGCAAAATCACGAATATACACATGGTTCGCGCTCCTGCCGTGATCGCAGGCCAGGGCTCACGCTCCCGCCGACCCGGGGGTGCAGTGATTCAGTGCCTGACTGTTCGGATTCAGGCCAACAATACACTCTGTCCTCC